CTTTGAGTCTTTAGTCAGAGTTGTCCAAAAGACTCCTAAAAATTCTATAGGCTATTGCTATTGTAATTGGTTGCCTCTGGGAGGTGGAAGGTAGGTCCCTACTGATAAAGATACCATGTACATCAGACACAGTATCCAGAGGACCTGAGCTGGGTCTCACCTGAAAACCTCCTCCTTGAGAACTAGCTTTCATGGTAGAAGAAGATACCATATAAGCTCCCAAAAGATGGAAGCAACCAATAGTCTTACCCAAATATGAGGCCATGAACTACCATGACAAGCATGGCATGATAACCCTGAGAGTACTATAGGGACATTCATACTTTGGCAAAAACTAAAAGCTCTGCAACTGGACTTAAGGACCACTCAACAAGAGGGAAATCATGCCTGGTATTGGAAACCTAGTCAACTACTAGGGAAAGATGATGTTATGGATCTTAGAGGAGAAATTAAATCCAGAATAATTCCTACCTAAATTCTAATATCTGTTCTTATATCTACAGTTAGGTCCAGTCCACACTCCTCATCAAAGAAACTTATTTTTGTAACAGATGGGAACCATTACAGAAAACCATAACCTAAAAATGCAGAGAACAAGAGATTATGTGGTGCTAAGTGCCAACTGATACATCTACAACACAACTACTAACCTATGGCTCAAGGAGCATTACGAAAGAGGGGCAAAGATATTGTTAGAACCAGAGAAACAGGAAGTTTTCTGTGAGATTGTATCTCCTAGAAATGTCAGAGAAGCTATACCCATAAAGTCTCATCAAGATGGCTGCCTAAACAAGATCTGATCAAGGATAACACCAATAGATATGCTAACATGGATGAAATTTTATGGTGCCTCAACCCTAGACAAGCAACTATGGTCATCTAAGGAACACTGAGAGTGAGAGAAATGCTTTTCCCCAGGGAAGAGTTCCCCAATTAGTTATCCAATACTAAGTGGTCAGCCTTGAAATCATATATGTACAAAAAACATTACAGGGACTGAGAAGGTAGCTGCAATTTATATGTTTAATTATATATAAAAACAACAAAATAAAAAGAAGCCATGAATGTGATAAAGAGCTGGTGGGGGGTAGGGACAGCTCTCCTGCTTTTGTGACCTCAGGGCCAGTTCCCACACCTGCCTCAGGAGTTGATGGGGGGGGCAATTCTCCACCATCCATGCTCAGTTTGAGACAGGGTTTTGAAAGACTGTCCTTGATTCCCTCAGTAGTCCAGGAAGCAATAATTTTTTTTGCTGTATTTTGCTTACTTGATCTGATATAGGGCCTCTTACTCTGTATTGTCATAGAAAACAATTGAAGTGATATTCCTATAGCCTCTACCTTCTTGCACCAGGCTGATCTGATGCTTTGATGAGAATAGTATTTAGAAGAAAATGAATGGTAATGCTTGATTTTAAAATCCACAGGCTGCCTTCGTCATCCAGGTATATATGAGATAAGGGAGTGTAGACCCTGTCATTCTGTCATTAGTGTAGAATTTCCTGTCAGAGAAGGGTTCCAGGGCTCATCTGGTTTCAGCAAATTCAACAAACAGGCTTAGTGTTCCAGGATAAGCTCTCCAACCAAAAACCAGATATCTGTTCAAGTGAGAAAGAGTAGTCATGGAGTTAAAGACTATTTCAAAGGAGAAGAAAGGACACCTCTTGTATGTCAGGGAGACCAGAGGGACCCCGGTCCCTTCAGAACATGGTCTCATGAAAGATTATATCACAAAAATTTAGAGTAACACTGGATGATTTTAATGCATTTAGAGTAATATTTCAGTAAGTGGTCTGTGCCAAGAGATTTGCATCCCCCAAACATGGCTTGAACATGTAAACAAAGTGCAGAGAATAGAAACACATGTAGGGTTAAGGTAGAGCTGTGATAAAGATTCTAATGCAAAATTCCATTATGGTTTCTAATGAACAAATTACCTCTTTCACATAGTGACTTTTTAAGCCTGTGATGAAGCTGAGCCACTATAACTCAAAGCATTTGTCAGTTTCCTTATCTGTGAGCAAAATATCCCAGAAAATAAAATAAAAAGAGGAATAAAACTGACTCTCTAGTCTCTATTCTATTCATGAACTCTCCAGCTCCTGCCAATCCCCAGCAGTCCCGCAGCCCACTTATAAATAAATACACAGATGCTTATATTATTTAAACTGTTTGGCCTAATGGCTCAGGCTTCTTGTTATCTAGTTCCTATATCTCGAATTAACCCATATCTATTATTCTATAAGTTGCCATGTGGCTTGTGGCTTACCGGTACCTTATATCTCACTTATGGTGGCTGCTGGCAGCGTCTCTCTGACTCCGCCTTCCTGTTCCCCCAATTCTCCTCTCTGTTAGTCCTGCCTATACTTCCTGCCTGGCTACTGACCAATCAGCATTTTATTTGTCAGTCAATCATTCACCACAATGAACTCCTCCCTTGTCCATACTGTTATTTTGTCTTGCTCCATTCTGTATAAGTCTTGTGCATATAAATACAGTCACTGTGAGTTCATGCATGCAACAGCCCTGTCGTGTCTGGCAAAGACTGTTTTGTTGCAGACATTTACTACCTCTGGCTCTTACAGTCTCTCCCATTCCTAATCCCTTCTCTTCCATAATGATCCCTGAGTCTTGCAAGTAAGAGTTGTGATGTAGATCTCACATTTAAAGTGCAGCACTCATAGATTCTAACTCACTGTATATTGATTAGTCATGGGTCCCTGTATTAATTACTACTTTAAAAATGATTTTCTCTGATGAAGGTTGAGAGATCCATTAATCTATGAATGTAAAGATATGAATTTAGGGAGCAGTTTATTACTATATCCATTTCATAGAATAACAGTATTGGATTCTCCCCTAGGGCCTATGACTTAGCCAGCCACAGGTTTCTGGTTCAGTTAACAGTACCAGACATGGGTTCTATCTTGTGGAGCAGACTTTAAATTCAATCATGAAATGATTCTTTACTCCTATAACATTCATGCCACTTTCACAACACTGGGCATGTCTTACCAAACCAGTTACTGTAGTTTGCAGAGTTTACAGACGGGTAAAACTGTTGATTGCTTTTCTGTTCCAGAAGTATGCATAGAACCCCCCAGCACTATGAAAGCTAGCTAATAGCTAATAGTTTCTAGGTCAGTATTAGCTTGATTTTTCCATGTCCTATGAGCAAGCATATGGTATTTTAGCAATAGGGTCTTACTATCATGTTCTAAGGAGTACCCAAAAGCAATGGGAATAATCTGCAATGTTTGGGAGGACTCCACTGATCAAAAACTTGAAAAGAGGTAACCCATTTCAGGAGCTGAGATTTTTTTTCTGAGAGCCTACAATGTATGAGAGAGGCATTATAGAGTAATGACTATTTAAACAGTCTATTACAGAGTAATTCCATCTAAAATTTCTTGATATATCTGTATGTGTATAGTTTAGAAAGGCTCTGGAATAGTAGCTTTCCACCTGACCTTTTACAAAGCCTTTAGTGAAAGTTATTCCTCCTATACTACTTCTTCTACTGTGTGGTTCCACCTTCCTCATCTCATTTATAAGAAAAAGAATACAAGTGCTTGAATTAAATTCATTGGCTGCCTATAGGGTAAGGTAAGATGAGAGACAGCAGATTCTTTCCCTATAGTGAAAACATTCCTTGGAGTAATCATTTTGTGCTCTACTGACATCAGGAAATTCAACAAACAAACTTTGTGTTCTAAGGACAGTTTCCCTGCCCAAAATCCTAAAGAAATAAAATTTTTCAGGGATTAAATGCTCACTGAGGTTTTGAAAAAAGAATCAGAGTACATATCAAAAGTAGCATAGAAGTGACATCCCCTGGATGTGAGTAGGACTAAAAAATACCAAGAGAACTACTCAGAATAGGGTAGCCTAAAGATCACCTCACACACAAAAAAGAAATCAGAGTAATTCTGGGTGCTGTTTATTCATATAAGAGTATTCTTTCTGAGAAAAGATCTGTGACAAGAGACTTCAGAACCCCCAAGTATGGTTTGGTGGGTAGCCCAGCTGTATAACAGAATATTATCTTTCAGAGCAATAATGAGATAAACAAAGTTCTAAATTCAAAATTAAAGTATAATTTCTATTGAGCATGTTAACTCTGTTGTCTGTTTTGTTTTTTAAAAACGCGATGAAGTTGAATGACATTAGACCATAGCACCACTGTTGCTTTGTTTCCATAACTGTGAACAAATGTCTAATAGAACAACTTGAAAGGAGGACTAAGTAATTATTAGTTCAGTTACAAAGATGTTAGTCTAAAGTCCTTGGTTCTGTTTATCCTTTGTATGGGGAGGCAGAATACCACTGTAATGAGAGTAGGTGGTTCAAGGTAGTAGTCACCTCTGAGTGATCAGAAATCAGAGACAGAGAAAGGAACAGGGATAAAGTAATGTCTTCAAAGGCACAACCCCCTGGAATCTACTTTCTCCTCCAACAACCCATCTTCTTAAGTGCACATATGTTCTCAAGACAGCACCATACATCAGTTGTGAATCAGTGAATTAACACAAAATCTTTTATGGGGACAAGACAGATCCAATCTATAACCTCATGGTAAATTAGGGGCCAACTGTACAAGTGATAGAATATTATTCCTATTTATAAACTTGGGAAGGAAAAAAATTCTCATATTGGTGACACATGGCTAAAGTTTGAGGACATTACACATAGTGAAATATGCCAGTCACAACTGATTAAATACCATGTTATTCAACTAAGGAGGTCCCTGACCAAGTCAACTCTACTGAGACAGAAAGCAGAATGGTGGTTGATAGGAGCAAAGGCAGGGAGAAACAGGAAATGGCATTCAATACGGACAGTAATTCATCTGAGGGAGATTTACAGTAGTGACATTACTATGTCCTTGTGAATATACTTATAGCCATGGGATCATACAACTAGAAAGGTTAGTGAGAAATCCTGGCCTTTAAATAACATTAATCAGAGTATACAATAAAGACAGGCAAAACCTCTACTAACCAGTGATTCTGTCTTCAAATGAACTGCTGGCCAGTGCTATGGAAGAATGTGCAGTTATCTAGACCAGAAGGGCTGATGAGGACATAGCTCCCCTCACATGTCCTTTCATGCTCACTACTGGCCTCATAGTCACCGGTGAGCTCTTAGCTTACTATACAGTTCTGAGAATTCTATTGTGACATCAACTATCAACCCTCAATGACCTCACCTGCCACATTTCCAACCATAATGTGTGAGTACAGTGACATCTTTAGGGGCTAACCATGCAGGGTCTCTAGCTTCTTTTTTTGGGAGGGGGGGGAGTGAGACAGGGTTTCTCTGTGCAGCTTTGGCACCTTTCCTGGAACTCACACTTGTAGCCAAGGTTGGCCTTGAACTCAGAGATCCTTCTGCCTCTCATGTGCTGGAAGTCTCTCGCTTCTTTAGTTATGTCCTTTCTCATGAAGAATTTGTGAGGTGGGGTGTGTTCACTAGTAGTCCTCTGTGCTCTAGGGCAGTCCACTGGTAACATTTCACTTTCACTCTCATTGATGTCAGAGTGCTTATTCCAGAGAGAGTGCCATAAGAGTTTTTGAGGCAGGAATTCAAACTGTCATTGTAACTGGTTACATTTTAGAAAAGTCATTTTCATATGTAGATTACAGTATTGACAGAGATATCATCAGTACTCTCAGGTTAATGCCAGTTCATTCATCAGAGATATGAACCACATTTTCATTATGCATTCATAAATTGATGGGCACGTAGATTGTTTCCATTTTCTAGTTATTGTAAATAAAGTGGTGATGAATATGGCTGAGTAAGTGTCAGTGGGATAGGAGAAGAAGTTCTTTCAGCATATGAGAAGGAGTGGCAGAGTTGGGTCATGTAGTAGATTTAATTTTACCTTTTTAAGAATTTTCCATACTGACTTCAGTAGTGCTGACTCCATTTGCAATAACACCAACAGTGAATGAGGGTTTCTCTTTTTCTCACATCCTTACCAGTATTTACCAATTGCTTCCTTGATCTTAGCCATTCTGGCTGGGTAAGATGAAATCATGAAATAGTTGTAGTCTATATTTTTCTATTTGTCAAGGATGTTGGAAAAATTTTTAAATATTTCTAAGCCATTTTAGTTTCTTCTTTTAAGAGCTTTCTGTTCGGATCCATAGCCTCTTTGTGTTGGGTTTTTGTTTTCTTGATTCTTTGTTTTTTTCCTCTCTGAATATTTGAATGCCCTCTATCAAATGTATAGCTTGAAAAGATTCTTTCCAATTCTGTGGACTTCCTCTTCACTTGATTTATTCTTTACTTTGCCATACAGAAGCTTTTTAGTTTTATGAAGTTCCATTTGTTGATTGTGGCCATAATTCTTGAGCAAATGGAGCTCTATTCAGAGTCTTTTCTTGTAGGTACTGCCTGTTTTCTTCTACCAGTACTAGAATTTCAAATTTCATATTGACATTTTGAATCATTGGGAGTTTATTCTGTACAAGGTGATAGATAGTGGTCCAATGTCATTGTTTGTGGATATCTAGGTTTCCCAGCACTATTTTTTTGAAAATGCTATATTTGCTCCAGCAGCTATTTTTGGTATTTTTATTAATTATCAGATGTCTATAGTTCATGCACTCATGTTTAGGTCTTCTGTTTTGTTCCATCAATCTATATGTATTTCCTGTGCCAGCACCATGCTGTTTTTATTACTATAGCCCTATAATAAATCTTGAAATCTGGACTGGCAATCACTCCCTTTTGTTTAAGATTGCTTTGGCTCTATAGTTTTTGTATTGGCAATATTTATAAATGTGGAACCTTTTTCCTGCAGTCCAGGCCAGGGGGTTCCTGTAAGTTTGAGAGGCCTGGGAAAAGTCATGTGCCAGGTTCCCCATGGCAGCCTTGGCCAGTGCAAGCTCCTGACTCAGATAGGGCTAAAGAGCTCTTGGCTTGTGCAGCAGAGGAAGAATACATTCCCAGGTCATATGGCTACCATGTCTGCCCAGGAAGCAAGGTTTTCACTGCCTAGGAGTATGCAACTGGGCCTGAGGGAGGTGGAAAATTTTGATGGGATCCCTTCCTCTCCTCCTAGCAGAAAACCAGTACACAAGTCACTGACAGAGTCCCTGGCAGCATTATGGGCTCACCATCCCACCCACAACTTATTTTCTGAAGCCACAGAAGCCCTGGATATTAGGGCCCCCAGCATGGTGTTGAAAGCACAAAAAAATCCTTCACTCAAAGCTCTTTTGTCTTCTCCTTCTTCCTTTCTTTATCCTTTGCTTCCTTTCTTTTTTCTGTTCTCCCTATTTCTCACCCTGCCCTCCTGTAAATGGTGTGTTTTCTTTGTCCTGTCCCACAGCTATTTCCAAATAATCACTCAGAAGCTTATATTAATTATAAATGTGTTGCTGGAGGGCTTTTCTCCAGGTTCCCCAAGACCCGCAGTCCCACAATCCACGTATAAAATAATCACTCAGACACTTATATTACTTATAAACTGTATGGCCGTGGCAGGCTTCTTGCTAACTGTTCTTATATCTTAAATTAACCCATTTCTATAAATCTATACCTT